AAAAAATAGATCAGAAGTATTTTTATAGTAAAATTTAGGCCAAATTTGGCATGATTTTCAAACGGTTTAAGGGATAAAAAAAAACAACATGCAAACTTTTAAGCTAGAAGTGATTTTCTAAAAAAAAATCACCTTTCACGTTACGTCTGATCCTGCAATTTGATTGGTCAAAGATTTCAGACTATAGTTTCGGGTTTCGGGGTTTCTGATTTTTGAAAAAAACCGAAAGGGTTTCAGTTTCGGGTAGGTTTTGTTTCGGGTCCTAACTCTGATGTAAGATGGCATCGTTTCATTTGATAAATCGATGCATCTACAATTCTTGATATTTTAATTACCTCTGATGAATTTGGACTTGAAGAATTAGTTGAAACTGCACAATCGCAATTGGTTAAAAATAATGCTTCATGGATGTGTCGGAATTTCGCTAAAACTTATAAACTAAGTTTTGAAAATAATGATTTTAACGGTTTACAAATGTTTTGTAATGAAATTATTGCTAAGCATCCAAGTATTCTTTTTGACTCTAAAGACTTTACAGATATTTCAGAAAAAGCTCTAATCTCTATCTTAAAACTTGACAATTTACAAATGGATGAAGGAAAATTTTGGGACTATGTAATTAGATGGGGAATTTCTCAAAACTCGGACCTGAATCCTAATCCTGAAGAATGGTCTGATACCGAATTTTTAACTTTAAAAGCTATACTCAAAAATTGCACCTAAATTATGGAAAGATATTATGGCAAAATTTATGAATCCAAATAAGATCATTACTTCAGTTATTTTACCTCCTCGAGTAGTATTAACCGCTGCGTTGCCACCAAGAAATACTTCTACAGCGACTTCAAGCCGTAAGTATAAGTTGATTCTTAGTAATGATGATTAATGTGCTTTTTTTCTTAAATATATACATAAATAAGAAGGTAAGAGCAAAAGAAATTTTTATATATATCGAGACATAGTTTTATAAATCAAAATATTGTGCTAGTGGTGATTTATCTGTACAAACCTCTAGAATATATAAACTTTTTTGTTTAATTTATTGCATATTATAAATATTCCAACAAACATATTTTAATTGCTTTATATACTCTCTTAGCTTGTGAGTATAAAATTTTCACATAACTAATTACCAGGATGTAAGTGTTAAATGACATTTCAATAGGTTTGTTCAAATTATTATTTTTTTAAATCGATCTTTTATATAAAAATTGAAGGATAAAAGTGATTAAGCTATTTTCGGATTAAGCCCACCCCAAAATGTTTTGCTTGAGAGAATGTGATTCCAGCTTTTTTAGTTATTGGAGATGCGACTTATGTGCAAAATGAACCTACATTGGTAAATTTTTTTAAAATATAGCAGTTGCATGTAGTTAAATATGTACTTACATTTATATTTTAAATATTGGTACAGAAATGCAGTTACTACAATATTTACCATTTCACCATTTGTCCTGTTCATTGTAATCCTGGACAGAAATGTAAGCCCGTAAATCACTGTAATAGTGGTCATCCTCTTTTTTGTTGGCGAAGATCTCCCACCTGGCACTGTGATGTATGTAAAACTGGTTATAAAGATGACAGTTGTCGTTTTAGATGCGAGAAATGTGATTACGATATGTGTTATAAATGTTTATTTATGAATCGAATCGATTCAAGTTAGAATAAACAGTAGTTTAGTAAATAAAAATAAAAAAAGTTTTAATATAGGAATAGTATAAGATTTATAAAAATTTTTATTCCATATTTGCGTATGAACTTCCAAAATTTTGAAAACCGCTACGTAGCGCTAAGGTTAGGCCGGTTTGGCTGTGTTATGAGCTTGCTCCTAACTAGTTCAGGATTAGACCTTTTAAGGACCTGTACTTGCATACACAAAGATGACTATAGAATTCTTGAAATTGGTGAAGATTGCAATGCATTAATTGAAGTCGGACAAATACCGAATTATCAAATATTTAAATCCATTCAATTATTTGAATCCCTGATGCTCTTATTTTCGTAATGAATTGATTAAAGCAAATTGTGATGAGAAAAATCTTAAAAAAATTCAAGTAATCGCATATTTCTGCTATTGTTTTGAAATTATTATCAAGTAAGCCATAATTATCCGATAACTTATGAACTGATATATTAATTTGCAATTATCAAATATAATCTTGAGCGTTACCGTATTGAATTATATAGATATATTTATGGTGGTATTGTTCCATTTGATAAAATTGATACATCCACAATTAGTTAATATTGCACAATCACAATTAGTTAAAAATCATGAGTAAAAATTTTGATAAAACTTTATAAATTAAATAATATATTTAGCGGTTCAGAAGAATTTTGTAATGATATTATTGCTAAGCATTCAAGTATTCTTTTTGGCTCTGAATAGTTTATAGATCTTTTAGTAATATCCTTAATATCCCTTTTAAAGCTTGACAATTTACAAATGATTGAAAGAAAAATTTGGGATTATGTCATTAGATGGGAATTTCTCAAAATTCGGGCCAAAATCCTAATCTTGCACAATGGTCTGATGAGGATTTTTAACTATACTTAAGAATTTCCTACCCCACATTCGGTATTTTCAGATTTCTGGTGAAGATGTTCTGGAGAAAGTACAATCATATCATCGAATTCTTGAACCTAAATTATGGAGCGACATTATGGCGAGATTTATGACTCCAAACAAGATTATTACTTAAGTTATTTTACCCCCTTGAGTAGTTTCTACCACTGCATTATCACCAAGAAATACTTCGACGACTTCAAGCCGTAAGTATAAGTTGATTCTTAGTAAAAACTTATTATTGATTTTTTAATGAGTTGTACCTGATGATTAATGCCTCTTTTTTTTAATATATATATATATATATATATGAATTAGAAGGTAAGAACAAAAGAAATTTTTGATATAGCCGAAACAAATCTTTATAAATCAAGTTATCCGGCAAACACATATTATCATGGCACAATTTTTGCACGTTATTTTTTAGGCGTTTATAATGTAACGTCAAATAATTAAATTTTGCCCAATAAAATTTGCCATTTATGCATTACAAATAATAATATTTAAAAAATGTCATATTATAATTTTTACATTATTTATTAAATTATTAAAAATTAAAAGTACAATTATAAAAAGTATTCCCGGTAAGGAATTTTTCTATAAATTCTTTATTTTTTTCTTTCTGGCCCCTTTTGAAATTTTCAACCACTTGATTTTGCAAGTTATTTTCCAGAATATTTTGATCGTGTTCAGACAACACAGCAGAAGAATCATTTTGCGAGGACACATCGAGATCGTCAAAAGCATTTGCCAATGATGCTCGTGATTCAGCTTGATACAAACTTGCAGGAACAAACCCACAATTTGATAGAGCTTCAGGGGCGACATTGGCTTTGGGGTGACATTTTCCTTGGGGCGACACTGGCTTTGGTAGCATCATCTAAAAGGTACAAAAAAAAAAATCAATTAGCCAAATATTTTAATTAAACCCTAAAATTTGCATAAATTTTACCTTTCAATGCTTCATTTGAAACATGCATCAGTGCGTTAAAAAATCCTTAATGCCTTTGTGTTGCATTACTGATTTTGGTCATTCGTACACAGCAAGACCCTTTTGGGACTTGTGTCTCGTGATGATATTATGACAGAATCCGAATAACTGAGTTCTTTCAGTAGTTGTACTGCAGTTTTCCTCCCTGAATAATTTGAAATGTTACGAGTACTGATTTGGATACTCACAGTTTTGCATATAGTGCAAAAGTCCTCTTAATGCCAGTTCTTCAAATGCACGTCCATAATACCATTGTCTATTAAAATCAACTTAAAAAAAGTTAGTAGATTTAAGAAATAGAAAAATAAAAAACCAACCACAATAAAATACTTTACCCGAATTTATACTAAAAGGTTTCAAATAAAAATTCGTTACTGTAGTTGCTGGGTGTTTACTGAAATAAAATTCATAATCGTCAATTATATCTTTGATATTCAGCAAGCTGATTATATCAGCAAATTTAATAGGCCGTAATATTACATAATAAATTGCGACCTGTAAAAAAGGCGTAATATAATGTAAGATATTTCGAAAACTTGCGAAATATTAAATTACGAAATATTACGTAAGATATTACGCAATATTACATAAGATATTTTAAAATATTTCGAAATAAACAGTATAATATTATGACAAATTTATGAATAGTAAATTAAATTGCATTAAATCACATTATATCGCAACTAACTAAAGATAATTAAAATAAGTAAATTTATTAAATATAGCTAAATATATATTAGAATATTTTAATAT